AAAGTAGCCCCAGCCTATTCAGCCTCTTCCTTATTATTTTATTGTTTTTGTTAAAGGTGAGAGTGTTACAATAAATTGAGTTTCTTTTTTAATTGTTACTGAAGACACCTGGGATTTTTTTTGCCTTTTTCCTGGGTAGTAGTAAGTTAGTGATAAATTGGGATTCCTTGAATCTTTCTATTTGTTCTGGCTCCAGGAGTAGTGGTACTACCTAGTGCACTGCACTACCCCAGTGAATCATGAAGCAACGTCAAAGTAGACATCAGCTGAGGTGGCTTTGAGAGAGTGAGATAACCAAGCGAGTTAATGGTATTTACCCTTACACAATGCTGGAGAAAGATGAACATCTTTCTATCCCACTGGGAATCCCATTTCACTCAAGACATAACACTGCCCTGGACTACTATCTGTACCCAGGCTGGCTGTGTCTGGTGCTGTCCCCCCCCCCCCCCGCTCTCCTGCAGCAGTCTGTGGGCTAAAGGAATGTCCTCCTCTCTATCACCTCTTCCGCCAGCACCTCTATGTCCTGTCCACAAAACTGGAGGCAAACCCTTTCTTTAGGGTTATGTCTTCTGTGACTTGCAGTGTCTGAGAAAGTGTGCAGTTGGGCTGTAAATATGGTGCCATATTTGGGTCACCAGAAGATTTCACCAATGGTGAGCATTTCCAGTTGCCTGATTCCCCAGGAACTGAACCCAACAGCCCGGCTACATAATTGAGATGCGGAACAGAAGATTGCATGAAAAAAATTGCCCTAGCCCATGATGGACAAGGTGACATAAAGGTCATTGGCCATCACACTAACTGCAAATGGGAACATTTCACCCATCGTTTACTGTATGTCAGCAATTCATTAAGTTCCACCCTTTAGCTCTGGGCAGTTAGTCAATGGGTGTGTATATTCCTGATTCAACTATCCGCGAGACATCAACCCTGAGGCTGTCCTACCTCTGCTAGCTATGGTTATCTGGAGAATGATCAAAATCTTTAACATTCAGACTCAGATTAGGCAAAATACTTGGCTAAGTTTCACTTGACACAGTTTAGCAAAGTTACCCGTAAATATCGTTCAGTTCAGACTCACTTGATTGTTAAAGAAAGAAGTGAGACATGGGGCTCATTTTCAAAATCCTGAACTATCCTGAGGATGCACAAAGTAGAGAGAGTGGCCAAAGAAATTTCACCGCCCTGAGCCGGCATCAACATATTGAAAGATTGTGGAACCAGTGAATATACTTGCCAGATTGTGGGCAGCTAATAATTATTCTTTCAAAGTATCTAGAATAGAAGCCATGAAATTTTTATGATAAGAACAAAAGACAATTTCAGATCATCGTATCATTATTCATAGAAAGAGGGAAAGTGAAATTACCAAATCCATCCCAGTTTTGTACAGAACAATTCAACCAGCCCCATTCTCTCACTCCATCTTCCATAATTTGGCCATTTAGCTCAATGATTCAGCTCTGCCATTCAATGAGATCATGGCTGATAATCCTCAACTCCATTTTCCTGCCATTTCCCCATAACCTTTTATTCCCTTCCTAACTAAAATTCTGTCGACCTCAGTCTTAAATATAACTAACAAACTAACATCAACAGCCCTTTGTAGTAAAGAACTCCATAGATTCGCTACTCCCTGAGTGAAGAAGTTGCTCCCCAACTCTGTCTTAAGTGGACGACCCTTGCTCTGAGATTGAGCCCTCTGGTTCTAAACTCTCCCATAAGGAGAAATAGGCAGAGTATAGCTGCTATACTCACTAAGAACCTTGGATGTTCCCATACAGTCACCTCTCATTCTTCTAAACTCCCTTGAGTACAGGCCTACATGGCATAGGATGTAGATGGATTAAGGATTAGATGAAGCAGTAGGTTCTGTGAGGATCAGTATTTGGGGCCCCAGCTGTTCATGATATATATCAATGATTTGGAAGTAAGGACCATAATGTGATATTTCCAATTTTGTGGATGATACAAACTCAGTAGAAATTTTGCGAGGAACTTATAAAACAGGTTCAGGTTGATTTGGACAGGCTTAGTGTATGGGCAAGAACATCATAGATGAAATAAAAATGTAGAAAACTGTGAGGTCATAGAGTCATAGAGTTGGACAGTATGGAAAAAGACCCTTCGGATGCCGATCAAATTCCTAAGTTAATTTAGTCTCAGTTGCCAGCATTTGGCCCATATCTCTGTAAACCCTTTCTATTCATGTACCCATCCAAGTGCCTTTTAAAGGTTGTAATTGTATCAGCCTCCACTATCTTTTCTGGCAGCTCATTCCAAACACACACTACCCTCTGAGTGAAAATATTGCCCCATAGGACCCTTTTATAATCTTTCCCCTCTCACCTTAAACCCATGCCCTCTAGTTTTGGACTCCCCTACTGTAGGAAAAAGACATTAGCTATTCACCCTATCCATGCCCCTCATGATTTATAAACCTCTATAACGTCACCCCTCAACCTCTGTTGCTCCACAGAAAAAGGCCCTAACCTATTCATCCTCTCCCTATAGCTCAAACTCTCCAACCCCGGCAACATCCTTGTAAATCTTTTCTGCATCCCTTCAAGTTTAACAATATCTTTCCTATAACAAGGACACCAGATTTGAACGCAGTATTTCAAAAGTGGCCTAACCAATGTCCTGTACAGCCACAACATGACCTCCCAACTCCTATACTCAATGCCCTGATCTATAAAGCCAAGTGTACCAAATGCCTTTTTCACTATCCTATCTATCTGTGACTCTACTTTCAAGGAACCGTGAACTTGCACTCCAAGGTTTCTTTGTTTGGCACACTCCCCTTACCTCTGAGTGTATAAGTCCTGCCCTGATTTACATTTCCAAAATGCAGCACCTCACATTTGTCTAAATTAAACTCCATCTGCCACTCCTCAGCCCATTGGCCCATCTGATCAAAATTCCATTGTACACTGAGATAACCTTCTTCACTGTCCATTACACTGCCAATTTTGGTATCACCTGCAAACTTACTAACCATACCTCCTATACTCGCATCCAAATCATTTATATAAATGACAAAAAGCCGTGGACCCAGCACCGATCCTTGTGGCACACCGCTGGTCACAGGCCTCCAGCCAAAAAGCAACCTTCTACCATCCCCCTCTGTCTCCTATTTTCAAGGTTATTCACTTGGATAGGAGGAACATGTGCAGAGTATTTCTTAAATGGTAAGAGGTTGGGAAATGTGGAAATATAAAGATAATTTGATTCATTCCACGTGATATCAAGAAAAGGTTGGAGACACTGGATACTGCAAAGGCTATGGGCCCTGACAACATTTCAGCAATAGTACTGGAGACATGCTCCAGAACTTGCTGCTCCTTTAATCAAGATGTTCCAGTACAGTTACAACACTGGAACCTACTTAACAAATGTGGAAAACTTTCTAGGTATGTCCTGTACATAAAAAGCAGGACAAATCCAACCTGGCCAATTACCACCGCATCAGTCTACTCTTGATCAGTAAAGTGATGGAAGGTGTCATCAACAGTGCTGTCAAGGAAGACTTGCTCATCAATAATCTGCTCAGTTTCACCAGGGCCACTCAGCTCCAGGTCTCAATACAGCCTTGGTTCAAATATGGACAAAAGAGCTGAATTCAGAGGTGAGATGAGAGTGACAGCCCTTGACATTAAGACCACATTTTACTGAGTGTGGTATCAGGGAGCTGTAGCAAAATTCAAGTCAGTGAGAATCAGTGTGAAAGCTCTCTGCTGATTGGAGTCATACCTGGCACATAGGAAGATAGTAGTGGTTGTTGGATGTCATCATCTCAGCTCCAGGACATCTCTGCAGGAGTTCCTCAGGGTAGTGTCCTTGGCCCAACCATCTTCAGCTGCTTCATCAATGACCTTCCCTCCATCATAGGCTCAGAAGTGGGATGTTCGCTGATGATTGCACCATTTGCAACCTCTCAGATACTGAAGCAATCTATTTCCAAATGCAGCAAGTCCCAGACAATACTCAGGCTTGGGCTGAAATTTGGCAAGTAACATTCATGCCACACAAATGCCAGGCAATGACCATCTTATTTAAAGACAATCTAACCATTACCCCTTATAATTCAGTTGCATTATTGTTGGATTGCTCACTATCAACATCCTGGGAGTTACCATTGACCAGAATCTCAACTGGACTTGCCATATAAATACAATGGCTACAAGAGCAAGTTGGAGACAAGGAACTGCAGCAAGTACTCACTTCCTGACTCTCTAAAGCCTGTCACCATCTACTAGGCACGATGGTCCTAGCTTAGTGGGCCAAATGGGCCCTTCTATGCCTTAATGAATCAATAACTAGGTGTTTAAGGCCAAAAGAAGTCTTAAACATTGAATATCTTTTCTCTTGGAAACAGGGACTGTGATCCACTTTACATTTTCAGGAATATAAATGAAAATGTTCAATATATTGACAGTTTCAGGTGCTGGAAAACATAAGTTTAAAAATTAGGGACTCAAATAGAAGCAAAAAACTGCAGATACTGGAGATCTGAAAGAAAAAAGAAAGCAAGTGGTTCTTCAACTTCTTTGGAACTCAGGCTTTCTTCGGGAGATGAGTCATATTGGACTCGAAAGATTAACTCTGTGTCTCTCTCCACAGATATTGCCAGACTGGCTGTGTTTCACCAGCACTTTCTACTTTTATTTGAAAATTAGACAATTGGAAGAAAGAAGAGAAAGCAGGTATAATTTTTTTTATTTAAAAGCAATTATGCGACTATTAAATGTGCTACTCGGGAAAGATACCAAAGGCAACAGTATAGGTGGGTTCAAGTGACAATTTATGTATTTATAGATATTTCACATTGGGGTTACGATAATAGAAGACAATCAAGTTATTAATTAAATAAGGATTAAACTACAAGACTTTGTATCCATTTTTGAAAATGTTTATGTTTTTACTACCTTAAAATGAGAAAAACTCAAACAGACATTTCAAATTGCATCTTTAATATCATCAGAACTCTTAATAAGTGGAATTAAATAGATTTTCTTTATTAAAGCATCCCTTTACATATATAGTATTGTATCCCTGATAAGAAATTATACACTTTTTTGATTCATTTCACTTTCATTCTGTGTTGAAGCACCATGACGTTGAGCAGTGAAACTATTTCATCTCATGGATTTTAAGAAGAAAGCAGCCACAGTGAGGGGAGAGGAACACAAGTATAAGGTGGACATTTACTCACCGCTCACATTATTTATTTTCAATAATCTTTGTTTGTTTACTTCTGTCCTACCAATCTCTGAGTGCTTTCCACTCTTAGTTTGTCATCTTTTACCAGGGAATGACGGATGAGAATCATGGCTCAAGTTTGAATGTGGCATTTCCACTGCAAAACTCAATCAAAATATCTGATAACAATATTACAATGTTGTGAGGTGAGGCGTCAGGAAGGCACATTTCATGTTAATGGTTAGACTTTTATCATCTCAATATGGATTGTTTGGACGAAAATCAAAATTATTAAAGTGACTGCATCAAAAAGTCTCTTTGTTTATCCACATACTTTTTATGTCCTTAGCAATTGCTGTTTTATTGTCTCCAACATCTCCAAAAATCCACCAGGATGTGACTGGGTTTAAAATATTTTTTCCACAGAATGACCTTCTGCTTTCAAAGTGATCAGTACCTAACTGTAGCTTAAGCTCGAAAGTCATAAATCTTATAGCACCTTTGTTAGTGAAATAACATCATTTTTCAAACAGAGGAATCACCATCTTAAGTCTAAGGTAAGTCCTGTCAGTCTTAATTGCATCCATTTCAGTTTATGTTATTTGATCCTGGGGTTCGATTAGGGACAAAAAAAAGCACTGTGATGGCATTTTAGCAACTAGTTAAATAACTTGACTTTGCAAATTGGTTGTCATTTTCAAGCAAGAAGAATTTGTGAGATGAGTACATTGCAAAACGTATCTCTGCAGAGGCCGGTAAATGAAGGTCTGACAGCTCTTTTCTAAATCTGATCATGCTCATTAATAGGTGATAAGATCTCCTGACATCTGCAGCTGTCTGGAAATCTTTCCAACACATTTTTATTTTTACTCATAGTCAAAGTTCATGGGGTAGACAGACAACTTTAATCCTTTTTTTTAACCCTTTTGATTTTATAAGTGCCTGATGTCGTACTGTTAGACCTGTGACCAAATCACCACAATACTTTCTAGTAATTTAAATAAAAGCAAAATATGGTGGGTGCTAGGATCTGAAACAAGAAAAATAATGCTGGAAAATTTCAGGTCAGGCAGAATCTGTGGAACGAAATGGGGCCAATCAGTTCTCCAGTGACCTTCCATTTGAACTGCTAACTAACTCACAAGCTGTGAACCTCAGTTCAAAGTGTTGTGTGAGTAAGAGGTTTTTTTTTGCCACTTTTAGACTCAAATGAGGTTGATTTCATCTGGGCACATTGCTACAGTAATGCACAATAGATTTGGTTTGGGGAGTGTTTCAATCCTGTGCACTTGCCATTTATTTTGAATAAATTTCCCTGTGTGGAAAAGATGGCGGGGTGGGTGAGTGGAACTAGCTGAGCTGCTCTTGCAGATAGCTAACATGGTAAGGAGGGACTGAATGGCTTTCTTTTAAGGCTGTGACCATTCCATGGGAAATGTACGGAGGCACTGTGCTGTGAAGGCCTGAATGACAGTTAGAAATGCTTGAATTTTGCTTTGTACAATTCTGATCTATTCCCCGGGGCTAAGTTTCAAACCTCCTTCAGCTGAGCAAGGAACAATCCTCACCAACAGCAAAAGTTCTTAAATTCTGGGAATAAAACATCCCACAGGGCATCACAGCCAAAAACAAATTTGATTGTTAAATATATTTTACTATATTCTTGAATTTTAAGACCATAGATGTGTGCTAAATTAATTGATCTCAGTATAAGAACATAAGAAACAAAAGCAGGAATAGGCCATACAGTCTCTTGAAAGTGTTACTGCTAAACTATAGCTAACATCATTGGCTGTTAATAATATTTTTACTTGAACTGAAAGTCAAGACCACAGGTTAAACTTTCAGCAGATTAATGTTGACCTCTCTCAGCAATGTATGGAACTTTCCCCTAAAATAGCTTTCAACTACCTTCTACCGACAGCTTTGGAACTCAGAAGTAAGATTCCTACCAATTGATAAAAATTGGGAAAGTGGTTTTAAGAAACCAGTAACAATAATTTAATTAATAATAGGGTTATTTAGTGGAATGCACTTTTCTTTTCAGACAAATGGCTGGCTTGCAATGCAACCTTTACAATCTGGATGTTGATCTAACTATTAAAGTGACATCACAGTAAATAATATTTTCCTAATAATTCCTGTTGGACATTTTCATAAATGAAATAAATTTATAATTTTCTACAAAACAAACTAATTTCTTTGAGCACAGATTGGGAACTTGTAATTTTCAGGCAACTAACTCACTGAAAACAGGCATGAGATTGCCATCGTTACCACAAGGTGAAAACACATATATGTATCTTCCCATCTCTTTTATCATCAGTCAATGGAAAAACATACATTTCAATTTGAGTTAATTTGAGATTTCAGAGTAGTCAAGATAGTATGACAGGTCTGCAAAAATGTCGTTCGGATTCTTGCACCTCAAGTTGCAAAAACAGGAGTTTATCCACATCAGATTCTTGGAGAAGCTCAGGCCATCGGGACAGTCAAAATTCACCTCAATGGTCTTTGACTTGAGGGGAGTACAGCATCGGTCATCTTTGCAGACACCACAATACTTTGGCCGGTAGGTGCGACGGCTCACACAGCCAGACAATGTGAAGTTCTTTGGTTCTGCTTGCTTGAGAACACTCAAGCATGTCTTCCCTTCCTGCGTGAAAAAAAAAGAAACCACCATAGTTGAGAATTTACTTGATTGTAAACACTTTGCTAATTCCTTTCATAATGTGGAAGAGTGGCATTAAATCACTTCAATGTTTCCCTTCTCCCCAAGGAGACACAGCCAGTTCCCTGAAACACATCTCACTGCATCTGTTGTGAAGTTAAAAAATGAAAAGTGACACTTTTTATTTTAGATTCTGTATCCTCCGTCAGACAGCATTACAAGCATCTCTTGTTCATCCAACCAAGTGCTGTAAACCCAACTGAACTGTTAAAAAGCAAATATTGGGACATTGGAAAGCATTGACAAACTTCTGTCATATCTTCATGACACAGTTTGTAGCAATATGTTTTGGTAATATGAGTTTTGGGTGTGTTGAATTTACTTTAAAACTAGTTTTTGTTTTCAAAGTGAATCTCTGCAGCATCAGAAATGTTTTTCCTTTTTCCAGGTGTGAATGGATGTGTCTGTGTCTGTGTTTAGAATGGTATTTATTTGTATTTCCATATTTCAAACTGTGTTAATTGGTTTTACATCATCACCAAGTAAGCCTCATTTCCATAATAAATTTTGTTATTAATTAAAAAGACCTGGTTCATGTATCTTGTTATTCTAAATTAAATTCAGTTAAAAATATTTCATTGGTATAGGTAACAGGGTGAAATATTTATGTTTATGTTGTGCTCAGTGGAGCAGTGGGACCAAAGAGGGTTGCAGTGCACTTTGCTGGCCTCAGTGATAATACCAGAGAGTCACTTGGCAATCCCTGGGAGTAAGGACTTAGTGAAGTCAAATCCGAGAATCTTACCTTGATATGTTGCGTAATGTTAACATTGCAGGGACGTAAATAGCAAAGGCGCCTTTCTTTTGCTAGTTTGCACTGGTCGTTTTCGTTTGAAATCCTTGTAGATATTCCCATTCCGCAAGATGCCGAGCAGGCAGTCCAGGGTGTAGTTTGCACTAAGCAATTACGGCGCCACACTTCTGACTCACCTGTGTAAGCTGGGAACGTATACAGTGAACAACAAAGTCAGTATAATCCTCAAGCCAAGACAGCAAAAATCATTTCTGCTCCTTGCTTCCCAAATGATCAAATATGTAGCACCAAGACATTCACTAGATTTCTGATACAAAACAAATGGTGGCAGAAAGTATAACATGACATTAAAACGTTGACTATGTTTTGTGCAATGGCAGTATTGTCGTTTATGCGGTGTAACCAAGGCATGCTGAACTGATCATTGCTTTATTCTCTTCACCATTAGGTCAGATTGTCTGAGGATGTTGGATAAAAGGGCACATGCTAAAGACTGGGAGGAGGAACATGTTGCCAAGGTGAAGGAGAACTGAATGTGTAGGAATGACACTCTGTCCATTGCTGCTGCTAAAAACCTGGATTGAATTGAGAAAAATGCTTTCACGTAAGTGATTTTGGTCTGGAATCCACTGCCTAGAAGAATGATGGTGGCAGAGTTATTGAAGCATTCCAGAGGGCATTAGATGATAATTTGTACAGGAGCATTGTACAGGGATTTCACTGAATGTACTCAGGAGATAGTTCTTTTTTATTAGATTTTAAAGGCATCAAGGTTTTCAAGGAGTACTACTGAAATATGACACTGAATTAGATGATCATGTTGAAAGACTGTGCAAGCATAAAGGGCTAACGGCCTACTCTTGCTCCTTGTTTCTATGTTTCAATGTTTCTACTTGAGGAGATGGCTTGGAGAGCCCAGTGCAGCCTTGGTGAGCTGATTGGCCTCCTCCTGCAGCATAATTATTCTATGATAATACTTTCTCTGTAGTAACCTGCCTGCTGAAATCTAGGTCAATCTTGTGGCAGTTCAGGTCTCCATTAGAGGATATTTTGAACTGATTCAATACCAAATGGTGATACAATAATAGAATCATGTAGCACAGGAGGATTATACCTACAGCTTCATGGAGGGTGCACTGGGAGTGAAGAGCTATCCAATTCATCTCACTCCTTTGCTCTTTCCCAAAAATCTGTAAACCTGTTCTCCTACAACTACTTAACCAATAAACTTTTGACTCATAAAGAAAACTGCATGGTTTTCTCCTAAGTCAGGCCTACTGGGAGTGTCAATGACGATGAAGAACGGGAGATATCAGTAGGTATAAGTAGCTAAATTTGAAAGTACTATTACCAAAGCAAGGTGTTGACAGATCTAATAATGGAACAAGTACATTTCACAAAATTGAAATATACAGAAAACATACAAATGTGGGTCTTTATGAATCGTGAATTAATAAATTGATATTGAGAGGGGTGATAAGAAAGGCAGTGTAAGAAGACTTAAATTGAACAAATGGCATTTGGATATTTGATCTTCTCTTTCACAATCTGCTGCATGACAAAATCAATTATTGATTGCCCATTTTACCCAAGATGGCCACTCTCTATTCCCATCCTGATACAAAGAAAACAGCTATAGTATCGTATCCATCATTCTTAAAATTTTTTTGAATTAGTTTTGCTGGTAATCCATTCCACACCTAAGCATATATTGCTAGCCCCAATTATGTCAAAAATAACTTAAACTTTCCGGTTTAGCAGTAATCATGCTCTGTGGAATGTAAACTGAGACATAAGACCAGCAAGGTCCCAGGTTCGTATCTGGTCTGCGCTCAGTTAGCTGGTCTCTGTTGAGATAGATGAGTGTTTACAAAACAGCTTCAGAACCCGAGCAGACATAGGGGAACAACCAAGATTCCCACTTGTGACTGGAATCCAGTCACTCACTGGCATGTGTACATGAGTGGGCTCCTGCTACATCTATGTTCACACTGGTTATGATTTCTGACCTCTGCAACCACATTTACTGTCAGACAGCCTGCTGAGAAACACTACCGTAGCTCACAAATATCACTTGCACAAGATTTTGGAGGTTGCTGAGAACTCAATCGAGGAAGCGTTTGCACCTTCAGGGGATAACTGAAAACCGGGAGATAGGAGCAGATGAATTATAGAATTGTAGAATGGTGCAGCACAGAGGGTGGCTATTAAACCCGTTGTCTCTGTGCTGGCTCTTTGAAAGAAATTGGTGTCACCTTTTCCATGTAGCTTTGCAAATGTTTGAAGTGTTTCCAAATCTCTCTTGCAAGTTCCTATTGGAGTGTTTCCAACTTTTTAGACCTCGATTTACAAAAATCTCAGAAACCTCTACTGAACCAGGCCATGCACAGGTTCTCCTACCTGACAGGGACACATGACGAGGGGCAGTCTTCTTTAGCTTCTTTGATTCATCGCAGAACCACTGTTCACAGCATTTTCCTGGCATTTTAACACGCTTGGGATTCTGACACCAGACAAGTGGAGGTCGGGACTGCCGGCACACAGGGATACAACCAATTGCACCGTTTACACATGTACATTTGTACTTGCAGTTGGGTTGAAAGCTTTGGCCATTGGAATACATGACCCCGTTGAGCTCGCATCCTACTCCAACCACATCTAACAGAACAAAAGATCAATTACAAACCTATGAAGTAAACTCACATATTACTTAACCTTTAATAAAAGAAAACAATTTATTTGATTTGTCATAATAACGGTAACAGGTCATTCAAATTGATGGTAACAGGTCATTCAAATTGATGGTAACAATGGCAATCCTTGCTATTCTTATTTCCTCCAGAGGATGGCACTGTTACCTGTTCAACCATAGAAAGACTTGTATTTATAAAGTGCCAACGAAGCGCTCTTGAAGTGTCGCCATTGTTGTTATATGGGAAGTTGAAATGTTGCACAAACTCCTGTTCTATGAACAGCTGATAACTTGTAATGTTTTCAGATTGCTGACAGCAACTAAGCTACATCAGATAGCCTGGATTACCTGGAAAATTGAAAGTTCTGCTGCACAATTTCTCTATGCTTGGGACCCTCAGAAAATATCCATTTAAATCGGGATATCGGAAGGGTTCAAATGCAATTAAGGAAACTTTACCCAGGAAAAGTCAGGCTATTAAATAATCTGTTTAACTCTTAAGTATCTATTTAACTAAACGCCATACTTATCTCACAGAACCTAACAACATCTCTCCCACACCACTGACACCTCTCAGACCCTGACCTGACACCCCTGGATCATGGGAAAATAGGAACAGGAGTAGGCTATTCAGCTCCTTGAACCTGTTCCACCATTCAATGAGATCATGAGAATGGACGCAACACTCGATTCCTGCTTCCTCCACTCTCCACATTCCGATCCCCTTCCCCTACTCTGGATCAAACCCTGCTATCCTCTGGGAGTTGACCTGCCATCCTCCATTTGATCCCCTTTCCCTGCTCTGAACCCAAGTCTCCTTCAGTCCAAATGAGCAGGCACCGCCTTCATTACCTCAACTTCTTCACTCACTATGACAAGGAATTTGAAAGGTCCAGTGAAACTTCAATGGAATTCGTGCACCACATAGCTAGTTAAATTAGAATCAGTAAAAGATAGATGAATGTCAATTTGACCAAACCAGTTACACAAAGATAGACTGTTTTTAACAGTTCTATGCAATCTGTTTCAATCCCAGGGTTCAATTCCAGATTGATACTGAATTAAATAAATACCTGGTCCTATTTTTCATGCTGAGATAGCTTATCCTACCCATGTCAGCCTGAATCTTACATTCATCAGTACCTGGACAGTGGAGGAGAAAATGATAAGACTTGGTTCCTGCTCATGATTGTTCTGTAGCCCTCTGAAATGTCAGATGACTTGAAACGATAATTCTGTTTCTTTCTCCGCAGATGCTTCCAGATCTGCTGAATGTCTCCAGCAAATTCTGTTTTTTGTTTATTTCAGATCTCTAGCATCTGCAATTCTTGGTTTTATTACCCTGCTATCGAATGCTATCCAGGGACCCCTGCTGGAAACTGTGCATGCATGTGAACAAATGTGATGCCTTACATGGTTAACTAGCCTTCCAACAGTCACTGCTTAGAGGTGGAGGCATGTCCCTTTGGTGGTGCATCTGTGTGCAACCTCAGAGGCACTTCAGGAACAGTCAGCATTTTCAGCAGAATACATTAGCAACTGGAAGAAAACAAAACTAACACTGGAGTTCGATTGGGAAGACACAGTGAAGGTATTTCCATGCATGAGAGAGATTAAGATCCAACATAGTCATGACTAAATCTCCCAGGGCTAGAGTTCAGAAGAGACATCTTTACCAAAAGAGTGATAAGAATTAGGAAGTTGCTGACACATATCTGAATAACATGGAAGCATTTAATGGGAGTTTGGGTAAGGGCATATGGGAGTAAGGAATGTACGGATATGCTAATAGGGTTGGGACGGGGGTTCAAGTGCAGTATGTACACGGGCATGGACCAATTTGTCGGTGCTGTACATTTCTATTTCTACTCTGTATGATATAGTCAGTTCACATTTTCTGACTGCGGTGGCTGTCTTCTCACTCCTAGGCCTTACTGAGCCTCTTTCCTAGTGAGTTGAAAACCATTCAATTACTCTGCACCTCATTTTTCCTTCCAACAGGTTTCTGAATGCAGACGGCTTGTGTATAGAAGGAACAGCAGTAGCTGCAGTATGGGTCACTCTGCTCAGGGCAGTTCCCCAGCCTAAAATCACACCTTTAACTCTGCTCCCGTTCCTTCGATTAATTCCTAATCTGTAGACCAGTTTTATCTGAGATTCCCTTTGATTTGAACTTACGCCTTTCATATGGCACTTATGAAAAGTTTGGTGGAAGCTGTGAAGTGATAGGTAGCTGTCCTGATGAGACTGCAAAGCACTTATCCTGTCCCCATGAACAATCACCCAGCCCCAAACCCACCCCCATTCCCCAGCAGCCGCCATCCCCACAAGATTGACATGACCCTTTGACCCTCTGATAACTGTTTTTTGTTCTGTATGTCACCAAGGTATATACTTCACTTACACGCGCACAATCCTACTTCATACTTAGGGGCATCCCGACTATAGTCACAGTACAGCCCTTTGTGGTAATCGCAGGTGTCTGCCTCTGTGCAGTTCTCTCCCAGCTGCTTGGCACATGCCTTACAACATTCACAGCCATCCATTACCAAGCTAACTCCGGGTGGACACCTAGGCGTGCGCTTCGGACACTGGCAAGGCCAGTGACAGTACTGGGTGCGGTTATACGGGTGGACGAATTCTGTTGAGTTCACACTCTCCTCTGAAGCTGCCTTGGATTTCTGGGTGAGACCCTGTGTGGAAGAGATAACACAGTTTAACGAAATAAGCTACCACAGAGCCTTCACAGACAGTACAGATAGACTGGGAATGTCTCCGTTAAGTAAAATAAAGGTGTGTACACCAATTGTGACTCTATTGTGGATAAACAGAAAACAGCAAGTCTGGCAGTTTCTTGGGAGAGAAAGCAGTGTTAACATTTTGGATCAGTAACCCTACTTCAGAGCCTGAGATTTGTAACATTAATTCTGCTTTCTCTCCACAGATGTTGCTAGACCTGCTGAGTTTCTCCAGCGATTTCTGTTTTTGTTTCAGATCTTCAGCATCCTCAATTCTTTGTTTTACTTTATTGCCCTCAGATGCATTGGACAGGGAAAGTGAAGGGGTAGCAGAAAGGAGGATCACTTCTGAACATGATACAATGACCTCAGAGTCACTACAACACAGAAAGGAGCCATTGGACCATCGAGGCTATGCTGGATGGCTGTCTGTTAAGTAAATCAATCAGTCCCATCTCCTGCACTACCTCCATAGCCCTGTGAGTTTATCTTCCTCAAGATTTCATCCAATTCCATTTTGAAGTCCTCTATCACCATCCTTCCTCCATCCTCATAAGCAGTGATTTCTGGGTCATTACCACTCACTGTGTATTGTCAGGTTTCAGGTGAAGGTGTGATCCATTTTTGCTGCAGCATTTTCACAACCACTGAGCTGGTTCCAGTCTGAAAAGAATGTTCTTTTGGCCAACAAACTGGTTAGTCATCTCCTTCAGCACAACCTGGCGTCTCTAGGTGAGGGGAAAAAATGGCACTGAGAACAAAAATAAGACAGTGCATCTCAATTAAATACAGGGCTCATTCTCAGCCATGGCCAATGAGTGACACTGTCACCTCTGAATCAGAAAGTTCTGGTCTCACTTCAGAGATCTGAGCACTGAATCCAGTGCTGTCCTGGGAGGGTGATGCATTGTCAAAGGAGGTTCCTTTCATGTTGGACATTAAACTGAAGCTCTGTCAGCCCTGTGGTCACAATAGATCCCACAAAACTATTTTAAAGAAGTGATATCATTCTCCACAATATTCTGGCCAATATTTAGCTCGCGGGTGGCATAGTGGATCAGTGGTTAGTGCTGCTGCCTCACAGTGCCAGGGTTCAATTCCACCCTCAACAGACTGTATGTGTGGAGTTTGCATGTTCTTCCAGTGTCTGTATGGGTTTCCCCCCACAGTCCAAAGATGTGCAGGTTAGGTGAATTGGCCATCCTATGTTCTCCACAGTGTGCAGGCTGGGTGGATTAGCCAAGGGAAATCCAGGGTTATAGGGTAGAGAGTGGATCTGGGTGGGATGCTCTTTGGTGGGTCGGTATGGAATAGATGGGCTGAATGGCCTGCTTCCACACTGTAGGGATTCAATGATATTCTCTTTTCTACAGGGATAGGGGAACAAACTGAGTTTATTACACTGCGCTTCACTGCTGCATTTAGAGTCCAATTCAGATGTTTTCCTATGGTCCTATGTTAAATGACAGTGCACTCTCCCCTTATCCTAAATTATCTTTAAATTGACACTGGAGTGACTTCAGGGAACGTATAGTCTACCTGCTCGTATTATGCTTGTGCGATTTCCCGTGCTAGTCAGTCTAATTCAGTTAGGCTGATACAGAAGCTGGTATTGTCTAACTGCTGTTTTGGAGGGTTTTCTTCTAAAATTGGGATTAAGACATATTGGCAAAGGAGTCTGAGATCTTTACACTGCACCAAACATAAGAGTGCTCACGTGGGAATGTTTGAGGTTATGCGAAAGAATGAGTATTTTCATTCCTGCTGCTGATAACATTGTGCTCATTATCAACAAAGTACAGATAAACCTGCCTTGTCACTAAAATATGTCTGTTCATGCCTGCTCTCCACCTCAAAGTAATGTAACACAACCAGTTAATATTTACTTATTTTCAGTATTGAACTATTCAACATTGCACAAAGGCACTCCTGTACCTCTACTGAAATAGTTCTAAAATAATTTTGTTAATTTTCCCTTCCTCGTTCTCTCTTCAAGACTTTTACATGTTGTTGATGTGGCATTACCTGTTACCTACGCTGCTTCCAGTATCTCTGTATGTGGCCTGATTTCATTTGAAGCCATTGAAATTGAAAGCTATTGAACTGCAGGCTACCTTAACCTCCCAGGAAGCCTCACAGTGTGTCTGGAACAGATGGAATAGGAACTCAGTTAGGAATTAGAACTCCAGCAAATTATCCCCTCCCTACTGCCACACTGAGATCAACACAGACCAGGGGATATCAGTGCTTTGTATGAGTCTGGACAAAGTGGCTCAGTCATTGCAAAGGTCCAAGATACTAACTTCTGCTTGAATTAGACTCATCTCAATAAAATAGCACTAATTTTTTTATTACAAATTCCTCTCACTTGACAGATGCAAACAATGGGAATGTGCATCATCACTATTGGCATTTTTGGATCATTTGTTTTACTCTTTTACCAAATCATTCTAGTTTTGATTCCTTACTGTTACTGAGTAAAGTGATCTTATCCAGATTGCAAGAACTGGCCTCATGACTAGGGAGAGGACTGAGAAAAGATATTCAGAACCCCCTACCCTGATTGTTATCAGGCTAACTTTGAGTGAGGACAGGATAAGGTTTCAGGAAGAGTTGAGAAAACTGGGAATTAAGAAATGTAATCATCATCTCCAGAATTAAGACTGTGAAGGAATAGGAGAAAAAGAAATAATGAAAAGCTAGACTTGACATTAGCAATCACTTTACTGGAAGAGGGAATATATGATTCACTGTGGAATGTTGAAGATGCTGTAATTACATAAAATAATTAAGCAAATATGTAAGAATACTGAGGATTGCACAAATGATCCCCCCTAATCTTGAAGTAATGACAAAAAAATTTTTATACATGGCACTATTTCTGCCAACTCTCAGTTGTGGTCCAAGATTTGGAGACTTGATCCAGACTGTGTGGTGTTGCATTATCCAAGATGATAACTTTCAGATGGAATGTTAAACTTCTCAAGTAGAAGTGAAGAGTAGATACTGTGGAGAAGAGTAAAAGTAGAGACCATCAACATAATTTGGTCAGCCAGAGACTAAATAGGGATATTAGAAGAATTTTTTTCATATCTAAAGTGTGGTGAGAATACTGAACTTGCTATTGCATGGAGTTTTGAAGGGGAATTGTACAGATGTGAATAAGCAAATGCGAGAAAAGGAAATTGAAGGCTCCGCTAATAGTTAGATGAATGGTGGAGCTTTGAGGTGAGCATAAAAACTAGCATGGAGTTGTTGGGATGAATGGTCTATTTCTGTACTGTACATTGTTTGTTTAAAAAAAAGTCCTTTTACACAGTGAACATAATTATACACAAAGGCCAAGTTGCACTCCTCCCTTTATTACGTCAAGTTTGAGGAGGATGTGGCTGAAATAAATCACATATTTTCCAGGAAGTCCTTGCTGGTTAGATATACCTACAGGACAGAAAATTGAACATGAAACTATTCTGGTGAAATTTACGTTCAACAAGGAGCTGGAAATTTAATGTTTTCTGAGTTTCTACATTCAGTATCAGAAACTAGCACTTCTAGGAAAAATTCAGCTGAAGTTAGCTGCAGAGTAAAGCACCCACTACAGTGTGCTTGCAATGTAGATAAGTAATGAGTACAGAAACACACTTATCTTTGTACCAACATTGAACAGCATTGAACACAAAACCACGGGAGCTATGCTGGACTTTTCAAATGCCCTGGTTAGGCCACAACTACATTGCTGCATTCAGTTTTGGTGATCACATGTTAGAAAGGACATGGACGTACTTGAGATTGTTCAGAGGGGATTTATCAGAATGGTTTCAGGGATGTGAGATTTAACTCCAGGTGATGCAACTCTAACATCTACAATCATAAGTTATTGAGACTCTGAGAAGAGGGGAATGGAGGTTCTGTATTACAGAGCTGTAATCAACATTCTGTTCTTTAGTCTTTAAATGTAAAAGCTTATGGGAGCTCCTGAGAGTCAGTCAACAGTCACCCTTATATGAGGCAGGGACAGCGATGCAACAGCCTTGGCGTAGGGATAGTCTAGCTAAGCACAGCAGAATCAAGAGTGCAGTGCAAACACTCAAAGGTCAGATCCCAATGTCTGCAGAATCGGACAGAATAAAACAGATTTGAGTTCATGACAGCAACACAGTCAACCGAGTCAACAGCCATAGCAAAGACCATGAGATTTTTGGTACAAGGTTAGGTTGGAGAAACTGGTTTGTGGCCTCCTAGGAAAAAGAAGATTAAGGGGCAGTCTGGTAGAAGTATATGAGGTTATGAAAGATTTGCATAAGGAAGATAAAGAAAAGCTGTTCCAAAGCCACAAGACCAAAGAACACAGATTTAAGGATTTGGACAAGTGATGCAGGTAGATGTAAAGTGAAGCATTTTTATGCAGTGAATGACCTGGAACTCATTGTGTGCAAAGATGTTGCAAGCAAGAGAAAGATGCAAACAGTGATAACATAACCTGCTTCAAGGCCACTGACAGTATTGTGATTTAAGACAGCACTGTAATGGCTCAGCTGATGATATTCCTGAGAGCATTTAAATCCCACCTGCATCACTACATAGGATAACCCTGTTTCTCTCTATCAGACGCTGCCAGACCTGCTGGCACTTTCTGTTTTTACAGCAAACTTTTTATTAACCAGCGCCTTTGGGACCAGGATTGTGCTGGTAGATCAAATATTCTGGTTGATCAAGAGATCCACATAATCCACGTAAAAACACACACTAAGTAATAGAAGTGTAATACAAGGGTATATACATCGCTGTTATGCCTTATTTACAGCATAAATCGCACAAATAATAATGCAACTCTGCCTTAAAATAAATCTTTTTGGCAGAGAGCTTTCTCCCTCACACCCTCAACTGACTACTCAGACATCGCGGTAGATCGCAGAAATTTGAGCATTTCAGTTGAACAGCATTTACATTGATTAAATAAATTGAACAAATAAATTAAAAAGCTATCATAACTAGACACAATAATACAGCAAACTTCCTGGTATTTGAGGTTTATAATTTTTGCCATTTTATCAAGAGAGTCAATTCATAAAAATTTGCTGAATTTTGAAACCTTAATCTGTTTCTCTAGTCTCGGTGCAGTCTTTGTTTTAACAACTTACTTTAGTAGTACATTGCATTGTCTCATAACGCTCTGTATGAGAAGAATTTACAAGTTCGCCCCCCACCCCTTGTTCCAAACTCCTGAACCATGGCGAAAAGTGAGGCCTAAACGCATTCACATCTGAAACTGAGAATGATCCTTGGGACAAGCAGTCGAGGGGCCCCAGGGCTAAGAGACCCCAGGAATACCTTAAACTGGATCTCAGGCTCCATTTTAATAATTGTGGCACGTCTCAAGGGGCAGCCTGACATCCTCATGTAGTTTGCCAGTCCAGAGCCCTCTGTGGCTCAGATGCCAGCTGAGGCATACACAAGTCTGCATTTGTGGCTGTGCCACATTAGGTTCTGGTAGAAAACTTACCTGCAAACTTCCTCTGGTGACCCTAAAAATGAATGCTGATAAATTCACTGCAGTGCCTGAAGAATTGGTTGGAGATTTCAGTAAGCCAAGCCTGACTACTTTTCACTAGTTTTGGGAGTGAGTCAAAAATGTGCACAAAATCTCTGAACTGTCATTTACTTCCAACATTTCTCTTTACGTGGCTCATGCACAATGCATTGCACAGCCACAATGATCGAGATACAACAGAAAACTGTGAAAAGCAGACCGGAGAGCTGGGATAGCAATCATTCCAGCTCATTAACTGGGAATGTCAGGCTTAGAAGTTACAGAGCCTGACTTTAGGAAGACGTTACGGATGGTATGATGGTGGGTGGGGGTGGGGGAGGGGAGCGGAAACCAGACTGAGCCATCCTTAGAGGAGCAATAAATCTAACAATTTTTATTGAACCTGGAGTATTATAACCATAACGAAGCAGAGATCACATAAAGTTAAGCAGAACTATGTGATCTGGAAAATTTTGAAATATTCTGTTAAGTGGAAACATTCGTGTCCATTTTTTGCATGACCAATATGAACGCTGAACACAACTGATGCATCTGCAGCCCCTCTTATACAGAGAACAGTCGTGTCACTATCCCTGGTGGAAACAGGTCAATTCTCGACTGCAGTGCCTCCTCCAAGGTCAAATACCTGATGCTCCTAGTCTGTGTTTACACAACATATCCCAGTCCTGATGAATTGTCATTGAACTGAAACATGGAGTGGGATTTTAATGGGCATCTGTGTACAAGACTGTAAAATAGGGCACATACCAGTAGCCTGCTTGCCCTCTAGGCCATAGTTTTACAAGCAGCAAGAGAAGTATTTGTTGTCCAAATGTGGCCATTAAATAGGCAGTTAATGTTCAGGTAAAGATCCCTTTCTCACAGACATACAGGGCAGCAGGAGAGACCTGGCCTTAATTGGCACCACAGCAGATTTGATCCTGCATTTGCCCTTGAGAAGGTATTGGTGAGTTGCCTTCTTGAACGGCTACAGTCAATTTACTGTGGGTGCATCCACAATGCCATTAGGGAGGGAATTCAAACATAGTGCTTGGCAGTTATGTGTCACAAATGTCACTGAATAGTTCTCGCTACTTTTTCATTTCACTACATGTCCCACATGACCCATAATGATATCAGCAAGGCAATTTTCTCTTCACATTACCTTGCATATCACTGTCCTCCCGTCTTTCTCTACTTTAAAGCAAGTGGCCTATTACTACAATTGTCACCATTTCTTCAAAGCGCTTCTCAACTACTATCAGCCTTATTGCTCTGAGAAATGAAGCTGTGCTGAAAATTAAAGCTGCAATAAAGGTTACCTCGCACCATCCTGCAACCTGGACTGTCATTGGAAAATTTGAGATATAACAGGGGTGTACTATTAGCTTATGACAATGGTTCCGTGGTCACCATTAAAGAGAATGGCTTTTAATTCCAGATTTATTAATTAATTTGAATTTCTAACTGTTGCTACAATAGGATTTAGACCGTTGCTTTGAAAAGCATTTATCTAAACAGCTGAATTAATAGTCCAGTGACATCATCACTATGCAGCAGCTCTCCTGATGTCTAATCGTTGCTGCTTCTGAAGTTCGTAACAGGTTTTCTTCTTGAACTGCTCAGTTGATTTGGTGAAGTTTGGTCTGATTAGAATTTTTATTTTTCCTGGCCCATCTGGTAAGCAATCAATCCAGTTCCAGCACCTGAGGATTTCTTAGTACCACTCCAGCAAGCCACAACAGATATTTTGTACCATAGTGCAACCACTTTCTTTAAGGGTAAGTGGGCCATTACTGATCACCTAATCTGATACTGAGTAGAAGTATACTAAATGTCCTGTCGCAATTCACTAAAGCCTATCCTTACAGGTGTTAAATAGAGTTTACACGATTTATCTAACATAAACTAAAACCTATTCACATTCTTTGAAATTATGATCACTGTAGATAATAAACCATAGCTATCTGAAATAAAATGACATTGTCCCTATATATCCTGCAGAATCAGTGGCTCAGTGGTCAGCATTGCTGTCTCACAGTGCCAGAGACACAGATTTGAATATAGCCTTGGGCGATTGTCTGTATGGAGTTTGCACATCCTCCCCATGTCTGTAGGTTCCCTCTAGTGCTCCGGTTTCCTCCCACAGTCCAAAGATGGGCAGGTTAGGTGGAATGGCCATGCTAAATTGCCCATAGTGTCCAGGATATATAGGTTAAGTGGATTAGCCATGGGAAATGCGGGGTTACAGAGATCGGGTAGGGGGTGTGGGATGCTCTTCAGTTGGTTGGTATGGTCCCAATGGGCTGAATGGCCTGCTTCTACACTGTAGGGATTCTATGATTCTTTGAATTAGCATATACTGTACTGTATATAATTTAAAACCACAAGATGTAAAAGCAGAAGTAGGCCATTCACCTAATTGAGTCTGCTCACCATTCAATGAGATCATTTTTGATCCGATAATCCTCAACTCCATTTTCTTTCCTTGTCCCCATAATATTTGATTCTATGAATGAATAAAAATCCCTCTATCTCAGCCTTGGATATACTTAACATCCCAGCCTCTGCAGCCCTCTGCAGTAAAGATTTTCACCGATTCAATACCTTTTGAGAGAAGGAATTTATTTTCATCTCTGGCTTAAATTGTTGAACCATAATGCTCAGATTATGCCATTTTATTTGAATGAAAATATTACATACATGGTATGTGCTGAGTTATATAATCTCAAGTGGAATAATATAGAAGATACTGTAATTGACCTGAATTTCTCAGATTCAAGAGGGAATAATACCATCCCTGGCCAGAACAACCTTTCTGCTGGTTATGCAGCTTTGAAAACATCCTGCATTCTTGCGAATGGTGAGCGAAGGCCCAGAGGCAGCGATTCTATGCTGGAGATGAGTAGCAGGCTGCCCTGAAAATCAGCCCAGGCCATAAATCAGAAACATTCACAGGGTAAGACATTGGATTGCAGTAGAATTAAACACAGATGGGAAGAAAAACAATACTTTGAAGCTGGGGGTGGAGGTAGTGATGACAGACGGTGAAAACCAACAGAGATCTGCAGTGTCGTTTCACACAGATGTGTGTTCCATGTTTTATGGTGCCATCAGTAAAATGTCAACCTAACCAGGCTAGATTAAAAAAGGGAGAGCATGTCTCAAGTGGGAGACATAGTGATTGATCATTCCACAGTTATCTGGTCACTGGCAGCAATTTGTTTTCATTTGGGATTATAGGAACAACAGGAGGCCAATTTAGTTTCTTGAGCATGTTCTACCATTCAATGAGATGGTAGCTAAACAATGACCCAACTCCACCTCAAATCATTGGACAAACTGGCGGGGAGCATGAATACTGAAGAGAATTGTGTGAAAGTGATTAATTTGTGCGGAACAGGCAGGCAGTTGTAAATGGGGGAATTAGATATGCCACCCATAACTGCAAGAGTAGGAGAAGAACATGAATAATTTAGAAAACTGTTCTTTTTTTATTCACTCGTGGGTGTGGGCATCACTGTCTGTGCCATATTTATTGCCTGCCCTAGTTACTCTTGAGAAGATGGTGGTCAGTTGCCTTCTTGAACAGCTGCAGTCCACATGATGTAGGTAGATCCAAATCCCATACCCATAAATCTAACAATCGCAGGTTTAAAATTAGCAATTAACATGGAATCAACTGTTGAAAAGATTTTAAAATTTCTGTCACCCATTGCATGTAGACTGTTTCCTAACTTCATTCCTTTTTCTGAAGAAGGGTCTAGACCCGAAATGTTAGCTTTCCTGCTCCTCTGATGCTGCTTGGCCTGCTGTGTTCATCCAGCTCTACACCTTGTTATCTCTCTTCATTCCTTAAATGCCTGGTTCCAATTTTCAGGCTATATCCCCTAACCCAGACTCTCCAAAATAGTGGAAATATAGTTTTTCTATATCTACGCTATCTGTCATCCTTAACACCTTGAAAACAAAGCTTCTAAATCTGAGGGACTATAATCCTACTACGTGTAATCCTCTTGCAAATTAACTTCTGGAGTCTGGATATCATTCTGGCTAATTTATACTGTACTTCCTTCAAGGCTAATCTATCCCTTCCTAGTGGTGCAATCGCAGTAACCCTACAGTTGGACCAGATTCAAGTCTCAACACCTGGAGGTTGGTTAAAAATATTCATCCTGCCTAAAGTCTGGAGACCAGGACTAGACCCAATTCCCCAGAGCTTTGTATTAATGATTAGCCAGGACAATTGGATGCACACCCCTGCTTCTCTCCAAAATACTGTCATGAGATCTTTTACATGCAATTTAGAGAGAAGATTGTAGTTGAATTCAATATTCAGACCCAGAGATGGGAGGACTTTCACTGTTGCTGCCTTTATAAGCTTCTTTTTTGACCTCAAATAAGTAAATTCTATATGCTAGAAGATGTTAGAATTTATTAAGAAATAAAACAATATCCTGTTGAAAATAAAAGGTTAACATTACAGTACTAAGACTATTAAAACAGCAACAATTTGCATTTACACACTGGTGTTAACATAGAAAAAGATTTCCCTTCAGGCTCATTGAAGACATGAAAGGGAAACAGTGAACTAATGAAGAGATATTCACAAGAAACAACCAGCTTCTGGCAATGTTCTAAAGATAAATAGGAATATGGGTAGGCTAAATACTTAGGGAGGGTGACTAGAATATTTGATTGTTCACAACCAGCAAAAATAGGCTGAATGGAACTGGGTGATACACTCAGGCTCAAGTTAGCAGAACAGAAGGTTTAGTAGGGAGCTTTGTGACGTTGGAGTCCTTCGCTCCATTGCATGACAGTTAGTCTCAAAAGGATCAGAACCTGGTGTAATTTCTGTCTGCTCATTCAGTTTGTTCTCTTTTTTTAAACTGGGGAGTTCAGGTGCCTCGACAGTGCTATCAAATAGCACCTGCTCAGCAATAACCTGCTCAGTGATGCCCAGTTTGGGTTCCACTAGGGCCACTCAGCTCCTGACCTCATTACAATCTTGTTTCAAACATGGACAAAAGAGCTGAATTCCAGAGGTGAGGTGAGAGTGACAGCCCTTGACATCAAGGCTGCATTTGACTGAGTGTGGCATCAAGGGAGCCCAGGCACAACTGGAATTAATGGGAATCGGGGGCAAACTCTCCACTGATTGGCACATAGGAAGATAGTTCTGGTTCTTGGAGATCAGTCATCGCAGCTCCAGGACATTTCTGCAGGAATTCCTCGGGGTAGTGTCCTCAGCCCAAGCACCTCAACTATTTCATCAATGACCTTCCTTCCATCATAAGGTCAGAAGTGGAGATGTCTGATGATGATTGCACAATGTTCAGTACCATCCTCAGATACAGAAGCAAGCCATGTTCAAATGCAACAAGATCTGTACAACATCCAGACTTGGGCTGACAAGTGGCATTTAGTGACATTCGCATCACACAAATGCCAGACAGTGAGCATCTCCAATAAGAGACAATCTAACCATGAGCCCTTGATTTTCAACAGTGTTACCATTATTGAATCCCCACTATCAACATCCTTGAGGTTATCATTGACCAGAATCTTTACTGGACTTGCAATGTAAACACAGTGGCTACAAGAGCATGTCAGAGGCTAGAAATACTGTGGACAGATCTCCTGACTCCCCAAAGCCTGTCAAAGGCACAAGTCAGGACTTTGATGGAATACTCCCGACTTGCCTGGATGGTTACAGCACCAAGTACACTCAAGAAGCTTGACATCATCTCGAACAAAGCAGCCCACTTGATTGGCACTAATTCACACACATCCACTCCCTCCACCACCAATGTTCAGTTGCAGCAGTGTGTAATATTTACAAGATGCACTGCAGACTGATAACAAAGATCCTTCATCAGCATCTTCCAAACCCACAACTACTTTGAGCCAGCAGGACAAGGGCAGTAGATACATGGAAACACCACCACCTGCAAGATCCCCTCCAAGGTACTGACCATCCTGACTTGGAAATATATCCTTCACTGTCGCTGGGTCAAAATCCTGGAATTCTCTCCCTAAGGGTATTGTGGGTCAACTTACAGCAGTTGGACTGAAGTGGTTCAAGAAGGCAACTCACCACCACCTTCTCAAATACCCAGCTAGCAGTACCCACATCCCACAAGTGAATAAAACAAAATGCCTTGAAAACTGCATTTGATAGCCAATGTTCAGAAGTTCATGTCAAGTCCAAAGCAACATTTGCTGCAAGGCAGACTTTTGCATTATTTTATTTTCGATTATGTGTCTGAGAAAATTAAGACTTCAAAAAACAAGGACCAGTACTAAAAACTATAAACCAGTGCATTGGA